GGTGCTTGTTTGTGCAGCCCTTGGCATGTGCGAGACCCTGAGCTTTGACACAGTCATGACATAGAGACCGCCATGGGGGATAGAGGACAGAATCCTGAGCTCTGAGTCTACTCATTAACAGCATGACTTAAAACTATTTGTTTTTTTTTTTTAATGACTTTCCTTTGGAACTGAAGATGCCCAATAGTTAACTAAAAGAAAAAAACTTAACTTTTATTTTGTATCTTTTGTTAAAATTAATCTTGGGTCAAATGCCCTTCAGCTCTGCATGTATTTTGATCATTTAGCAAGTATCTGTCCAGAAGCTGGCCAGCCAGATTTGATTAGCCCTGAATTTACATGACCTTATCCCTGTTTCAAGACTGAGGAACCAAGATTAGGTATTACAGAGATCTTCAGCTATCTATGCCGAGGTTTCCAGCTATTGTGATCACGAATTCCAGTAAATCTAGAACCTCACATGACTGTAACCACTATAATCACTTCATGAGATGGGACTGCACCTCTAACCGTGAGGATTCCAGAGCTGCAGTACTGTACTCAGTACTACTGAGATCACAATCAACAGGATCCCAGCCAACCAGAGAATCCTTAAAAGCTGGCCCCCTGCCTTTGCATATAGACAAGTCTGATCTCTTTCATCAGAGTGTGCCACCCCCAGCTGCTCAAGCTAGTCCTTTCCTATTTTTTTATTATTATTCTTTGTTAAGGACAAGCCTCACCTTTGTCAGCTCTCCAAACTAGAGTACCTTACAATTTTCTTTTACTTTTTAATTTAACTTTTTCCCTATAAATTTGTTAATTTCCATTATTACTAAAAGCAAGGACACATGCTACCTGGTGATAGTCTCTGATCCCTACCACCCCCACCCCAAAGAAAAAATATTGGGCAAAGTGGACCCCCTCTTTTCAAAAGTACAAAGAGGAAAAGTATCCTTCTACCCCTAACTCATTCTGAATTCACAAAAAAGTAGCTGAGACTTTGGCCTAAGTCATTAAGCTTAAATTCTCATCTTAAAAGAAATCTTTCCTTGGATTTTGCTATGTAATTATACTTTGAAAAAAACCCCAGCTTTTTCCATATAGACTTTTTTTGTAAGTGGGACCATTATCCCTCTGGCTAGGTGTGTTAAATCTTGTTACTTGATAGCCATGCCCCAGGTATAGATATTTGTACATACAAAACACATTATTTTTGATATTCATATCTCTGGCTAGTGTTATTACTTCATAAACTGATCATATAAATGACTTCTGTACAGTCAACACAAGTAACCGACTTAGCAGCTAATAAGTATTCCTAAGTCAAGTGACTGATTTGCCTTTGATACTGAAAATTTTAATATTTTATATACTGTGGTATAATATATAGAAATAGTGCCGGTGTGGAGGTGCACACCTATAATGCCTGGACTCAGGAGGATGAGGCAGGATTGCCATGATGCTCAAGGCCGGCCTGGTGTACACAGTGCATTTTAGACCAGTCTAAACTACACAGCAAGCAAGACCTTGTCTAAAAAAAAAAAAGAAAAAGAAAAAGAAATAAAAAATATATAGTGAAATTCTTCACTCTGGTTTTTCAATAACCTCTAGGTTCTTTTTTATACTACAAGAAATAAAGCTGCTTTACTGGTCCTGAGTTGAACTTGTGAATGGTGTCTGCAGGAAGATGGTAATGAGAATATGTATAATAAAGTTTTATTCCTTTATGAAAGAGTTTCTAATGAAAGTTAATTCTGTACAAACTGAGCTCATGGTGTTCAAAAAAATCAAAGAATGAAGCTGAAAACCAAAAAGAGGGGGAAAAAAAGAAGAGGAAAAAAGTTTTTATTGGAAATAAGGAGATGAAAAAAGGTTCTTAGTTTCTCCAAGAGGGGAATCCAAACAGTGGAAATTCCATTTGGTCCCTTGGTCCACAACTTTTTTTTTTCCCCCTGTACCAGGGACCAAACTCAGGACCTTAACGCTTGCTAGGCAAGCAGCGAAACCAATGAGCTAAATCCCCGGTCCCAAAACTTTTTATGGGTAAGTGGAGTAGAGAAATTTATTCAATTGTTCAGTGGTCACATATCACAGGTGGCTCTGTGAATTTAAAATTCTTAGTTGGAATGCAGGCTCTGTAACCCAATTACTCAGCATGGAGGGTTTAAAGGAAACTTGGATTTTAGAGGAAAAGAAATGGTTATTTTGCATTTTAAATTCCTCAAAACTCAGGAGATCAGCAGGGAGGGGCTGCAACTCCCTTTAGTAGAGCTAGCTGCTTCTCATGTTGCCCAAGTAAGTTAATTCTTGGTCCAAAATCCTAGTGCACTGTCTCTTCTTCTTAATATATCTGATCACTGAACTCTATCTCAGGCCCTTTTCCTAGCTATGCATCCACTCCTTCCCATTAAGTTTATTGGTACATTTAAAGCAAACTATCCAGTTACATTTATCATTGGGATCTTGTACCTTTACATGATGTCTTGGTTCTTGTTTTTTCCCCATACCCCTGCCCTTCCTTCATCCCCTTCACCCTTCCCTAGTTACAAAGATTTTGTTTCCGTTTTTTTCCTTTTTTTCACATTTTTTTCTTTTTCCTTATTTCCTTTCCCCTCCCCTTCCTTCTTCCCCTTTAGCCAGTTTCTTCCTGTTTCACATTCCCAATTGTACATTTGAACCTTATTTACACTTTTAGTGTTTCACACCAGAGAAACTATTTGGTATTTACTCAAGTGTGTCCTATTTATTTCACTTAAGAGTACAGCCTCAGGCTAGGGATTTGGCTCAGTGGTTCCACAGCGTGCCTCACAAGCACAAGGGCCCAAGTTTGATCCCCGATACCAAAAAAATAAACAAACAAAAACAAAAAATAGTATAGCCTCAATGTGCATCCATTTAGCTATAAATGTCTCTAGTTTCTCATTTTTTATGGCTGAAACAGATCTTCTTTATCCAGTCACCAGGTGATGGGCATTTGGGTTGTTTCCAATTTTTAGCTATTACGAACTGTTATAAACATGGATGCACATGTATCACTGTGGTATGATTCTTTTAATTCTTTTGGAAAGATACCCAGCAGGGGAATACCAGCGTCAAATGGAACCTCTAGTCCCAGCTCTTTGAATTATCTCCATATTGATTTCCACAGTGGTTACACCAGTCTGCACTCCCACCAACAATGGAGAAGGGTTCCTTTCTCCCCACAGCCCTGCCAGCATTTGTTGTTGGTCAATTTCTTGATAGCAGCTATGCCTTATTAATAAGCTAACTGCACTATATTTTACATTAGTATCTGGCTTTTGCGGGGGGGAACATTCCTGCCCCTCCAGTGGCAGAGGGGAAACCTGTCCCTACATTGCCCTCACCCAAGGTCTTATCTATAGTTATCATCTTCTCTGCCCACGTGATGCAAATTATAAAAAATCACATTAGTAGGGCCGGGGATTTATCTCAGTGGTGCCGCTGCCTGCCTTGCAAGTGCAAGGTCATGAGTTCAATCCACAGTACCAAAAAAAAAAAAAAAAAATCATATTAGTTCAGATATTTCATGAGCGATTTGAAGGACTGGACTGATGCAAAAAGGGGGAAAAATCTTATTCGCAAATTAATCAAAATAAAGATAATGAAACTCTTTAGAGCCCTACACATATACAGAATAGTGGGAGGAATCTTGAAATGCATTTTAAAGTTTTCCTAAAGGAATTAAACTTCTTTTATTTAGTATTCATTTCATTGGCTCTCCACTGGTGTTTTTAAGAATCCCTCCCCAAGTTAGAAACAAATCAAGATGCTTCTAAACATACCCGGGGCATCTCGGCCACGCTCCTGTGACTAAAGGAGCTGCTCCCATCCCATCCCAAACCTGAGTTACCTGGAGGACCTCTTGCCCCTCACAGAAGACTTCTACCCAAAAAAGGCTCTAACACTTCTCCATTCATCATTCCAGTGACCAAAGGCATTTCTAAGCCTTAGGTCCCCAACCTGTAAACAGGATAACAGTACCTATGATGACTTAAATGGAATAGTACCTGGCACAGGGCATTTAATAAATGCTATTTATTTGAACACTACCTAGCCTCAGGCTCAACCAGGTGTTACTCATTAAACATCTTTTCCAGGAAGTGTACCTACAGAAAAACCCTTTGTTATGGTTTGGGTCTAGATGTCCCCCAAAGCCTCACAGGCATTGTGGTTAGACTCATCACTTGCACTGCTACAGCCTTATTCGAGTGATACTTTTCTACAAAATTTTGCACTGTTTCCCACGTTTTACACATTTCCCTAACTTCATCTGAAGTGAGGGATTCCTCTACTTTTTTATCCTCTTCCTCTGCTGATGAAATCTCCTCCATAACCTCTTGCTGGTGGGAAACAAATCACTCACAATTCCACAGTGAGTAGGGGGAGAACCACTGGCTCAGTAGTGATCACATGACATTTGACATCCCGTACTATTTATATTGCAAGGTATCACTCATTTATCAAGTTAAAAATTATTAGAAATATTTGTTCATCTTGCGGAACACTCACAGAGCAACTTACCTGCAATCCAAAGTTTTATTGTACCATGAAATAGTTATGTAAAAATGACATAAACTCATGGGTTTGTTTGTTTGGGTACTGAGAATTGAACCCCTTCAGGGCCTTCACACTGAGCTGCATTCCCAGGGTCTTGCTGAGTTGCAGTCCTCTTCCCTTGACCTCCTGGAGAGCTAGGAATACAGGCCTGGACCACCAGGCCCAACTAAACTTATCCTCTTAGAAAAAAGGAATAAAGCAAAGTAAGAACATTCTCAAAGAGCTTAAAGATTTGAGGTACCTGATAAGACTGCTCACTAGTCACAAGTTAGACAATTTTTTTTTTTTTTTTTTTTTTGAAACAGGTGTCACTATGTAGTTGAGAATGACCTGGAGCTCACTATGTAGCCCAGGCTGATCTCGAACTCACAGCAATCCTCCTGCCTCAGCCTCCCGAGTGCTGGGATTACAGGCATGAACCACCACACCTGGCTAAGTTAGACATTTTAAACATAAGCTTTACTTTAAACTTAAATGTTAAAAATAATCATTTTGCTTTACAAATCATAATCAAGCACTTAAAACAATTTAAGAACACATTTTAAATTCAAAATAATGACATCCATAGAATACATTGTGGTGTTGGCCAAAATAAAGTTTACTTTAGCACTACTCTTTTATATGCTTATATGATTGCTTACATGATTACTCAACGATGATTCAATATGTAAAGTTAAGCAAGTCTTTTATATATCTCAGATAATTTTTTCAAATATAAAACATTTACCAGCAAAGAAATTATAAAAAAAAGTACATCAGTTATACTGAAGGACTTGATTTGAAAGCTATTTATATATAGACAGAAGCATTTCACCTTAGAAAATACAGTCACAAATTTAACTGAATATAGGTCCCATCCATTCTTAGTGATGTTACACAGCCAACTACATGTTCATAAATGTCATTCTATTATGCATCAACTGAAAAAATATATGTATATTTTTAAAAAGCCTTTGAAGACATGTGGGGGTAGAATGTGCCCACTTTCAGAGCACTGCTTTCAGAGGACAGCTCTGTCCAGCCAGGTCCCAGGGACTAATGAACTGCCCCTACCCTCAGAAAGACAGGATGGTCTTGTTAATGATTTCCACAGCCTCCTGGACCTCGTCCTCCTTGATCACAAGCGGAGGTGCCAACCTGATGATATGGCCATGGGTGGGCTTAGCCAGAAGCCCATTATCTCGAAGCCGCAGACACACCTTCCAAGCATCATAATCTATAGAAAAATGGGCATACATGTGTGCTCATCAAAGATTAATGTTTAAACATCCACTTGTCCTATGCATGGACCAAGTATGAACTTGCAAATAAGAGCATTCCTAGGACCCGCTCAAATGAGACACCTCTAGGCTGCAAGGTACTTTTGCTTTTTTTTTTTTTTTTTTTTTTAGGGCTAAAGAACTGAACACAGGGCCTTAGTCACACTAGGCAAGCATTCCCACTGAGCTACATCAGCCCAGTTCTGTTTCTTTAAGATGAAGTTAATCCTGACTTTCCAGCAAGCATATATGTTAACTAGGTTTGAATGGCACATTCAGATTTAGTGACGTTTTTTGGTTTTCATAAATGAAAGTCCAAACAAAAGACACATCTGTGTTACCGGCTACGTGTCCCTTATCCAAGCTGCTTAGGACCAGAAGTGTTCTGGACATAGGAATCCAACATATACATAATGAGCTATATTGGGGAGGTCTAAACACTAAACTCTTTTATGTTTCATGCACCTTATATGCATAGCCTAAAGTAATTTCACACAATATTTTTAGTACAACTGCATTTTGACTATGGCTTGTCACACAAAGTCCAGGGTGGAATTTCCCATTTCTGATACTGTGCTGGTGATCAAAAAGTTTCAGAGTTTGGAAAATTTCAGACTTCTCAGTTTAGGAATACTTACCTGTTAATTACATAAGGAACTAATATTAATGCAACTAAAGAAGTTGGGTAGGGTATAGAAAAGTGACACAGAATAAGCAATATCCAAAACCCAAACAGAGGGAAACTATACATTTCTAAAATAGATATGCTTCCTGAGCCTGTGGGACTCGTGCTGGTTCTCAACCCCCACCAAACACCAGAATCACCAAAAGAGCCCTATAGACATCTGTACCCCACCCCAACCCATCAAATCAGAATCTGTAGGATGAGGTTAGGCTTTGAATCCTTTTCAGAAAGCCCCCAAAGTGATTCTAAAGTGCAGCCAAGGCTGGAATCACTGCTTTAAAAGCAAGTTATCCAAGAAAAATCCAGGAAGGAGCCCTTGAGGGTGATAAATGATGCAATGAAACATCAAACCTGCCACTAAGTAACAGCATTATTTTTACTACCAACAACCATCAACGTTATTCCTATTATTTCTATGGCTCCTATAACCTTGGCTGCTGTGTGTGAAGGATTTGAGCAAGGGAGCGGGAGAGGATAGCAAAGAAAAAAGTCCAGACAAAGAGAAAATAATTCAGACCCTCCAAGCACTGCATGACTAATTAAAGGCAGAAAAAACAAATGTCTCAGAAGAACAAAAACAGGTTAAACTGGTTACAGGTGGTATTGTGTTGGAATGAGTTATATTTTCAGTATCACTAATCTAATTATAAATCAGATAATACTGTCTAAAAGATTTGGTCAAACGGCTAGTAAATAGTTTCAAACAGAGGAACACCCCCCACCACTACTCAAAGTGCTGAAAGACCCCTTGCTTTTTCTTTCACCTTCAGGTAAAATGGGTTACCTACATACCTCTGGTTTCTCTAATAACAACAGCATTTAACAATCCTTTTCCTCTTACAGCAGTTACAACATCAGAGGGCAGCTTCATGAGTTCATTTCTCAAGATAGTACCCATTTTCTCTGCATTTGCAGCAAGGTTTTCTTCTTCCAAAACCTATGTTTTTAAAAAAATTACACATATGGTAAGATTGTCCTTTTTTGATTATTCCCTGGAAGGCAACACAAACTGAACACAAAGGAAAACATGGTTAAAGATCAGAGTAACTTAACTTTCATTTGTTTTACAAGGCCTATATTAGTTTTATCTCTAATTAAACAGACATACCATCTCAGAGCCTTGACTAGTCAGAAATCTATGGCCAATCTGTCTTCATGGCAAAATAAGAAAATTTAACACAATATATGATAAACTGTTAACTGACCATATCAATCAACGAAATACAATTTAAATTTTAAACTTTTTTCTCTAAAATGTCATCTGCAGATTGCATAATTTTAAGCCTTAAATGTAAAAAACAGTCAATGTCCATTTATTTAATATTTTCTAATTTTATATATCTTTTTTTTTCAGTACTGGGGAGGTCAAGTCAGGACTTTGTGCCAGAAAAACACTCCACTGAACTAACATTCTCACTCCCATTTTTTATTTTTGTTTTTGTTTTTGTTTCGCAACAAGGTCTCGCTAAGTTGCCCTTCCTGGCCTCCAAACTTGCAATCCTCCTGCCACACAGCCTCCCAGTTACAGACGTGCACCAACACACCCTGTTTATTGTTTGTATTTTTGCATGGCATTGGGGATCAGGCCTAGGACCTAAGGCATATAAGCCTCCACTCTACCCCGAGCCAGACCCTCCAGCCCTCAGGGTCACGCCTAAGGGCTCTAGGCCCCAGGTGACTACAAACTCATGAAGCCCAGGGAAACAGGTTAAGCTTCTTTTAGAAAAATTCCTTGTTCTTAAAATCTTGCCTCTGTATATCACTTTCACTTTATACTGAGCAATCTTACTAAATTTCTTATTACAGGTCCAAACTTAAAATCATCTCTTCTGCCAACTGCCTCTCAAGCACAGAGTCGCAAGTTCGAGCCCTGGTACCAAAAATAAAAATAAAATAAAAAATAAAATCATCTCAACATTACTTAAAGAAGTAGATACTGTTAGGCTGTATCAATTCTTACCTCGAGGGCTGCCATAGACACACGACAGCCCAGTGGGTTGCCACCATACGTTGACCCATGTTCCCCTGGTTTAATGGTCAGCATTATGTCATCATCACATAGCACCGCAGATACCTGAAATAGAATTTTCCCCATAGTTTCTCAAACTAAGTATTCCTATTCTTAGCACACCAGGAACATAAATATTTATATAATGCTGATATTAAGTTTACATAAAACGTCAACAAACATCACCTTAACTACCAGTAATAACCACAGTAATACCCTAACACAACAGAAATACATCAGGCACATTTCAATGGAATGGAACAATACAATTTTGCTATTCCTGAATAATGTAATTTATAATCCTTTCCAATTTCAAGGTGAAATACTTTGCCTAACTGCTTACCAAATTGAGTATTCTCTTCAACAAGATGGTTTAGTCTACTCAGCAGAAACATCCAACCTTCAGTCCCCTTTAACTCAGTCCCAATTATTGACTGTAGCTAGCAAACCCAAGAAAAGAACTACAAGAAAGCATTAATGTTTTCAACCCCTATGCTCATGAGTCATAGCTTTAAACAATCAGGAATCAATACAGGCCTTTACAGCAGTACTTAACAGCTAAGATGTTTCAATTCAAATCAAATGACACAGCAAATTCCAAAGCATATTCCATTTTTCCATCAAAATTAACTAAGTGTGTCACATAACTGAAATCTTAAGTATTTTTACTGTAGATATTCCAGGTGGCCACAGAACATCTAGTAAAAACCAAACCATGTGAAAGACATTCTTGTTGGGCCGGGGATTTAGCTCAGCGGTTTGGTGGCCTGCCTTGCAAGTTTGTAAAAAAAAAAAAAAAAAAAAAAAATAGTATTAGAAAGACATTCCTGTTACAATCACTGGGTGACATATATTTTAGAGGTAGGTTTCAGGACAGCTGGGAATGGAAAGAAAGACTGAACATTACACTTACAGGGTATAAGCCTCCAGAAAGGGCCTTTCCAAGAAGAACTATGTCAGGTCTAACATTTTCATGATCAACGGCCAACCATTTACCAGTCCTGGCCAATCCTGTCTGTATTTCATCAGCAATAAACAGGACCTAAAAGCAAAACAATACAACCCTGTCATTTTTATTTCCATAGGGAAAACAGCAGATCATTACATTACTCCCCTCTCCCCACAAGTGTGTAGTTCTGTCCTCCCCTCTCTTGTGAAAATGTTTAGTCAGCCACATAATTTTAAGAACATCTTATGAAAACCCTGTAAACACACCAACTGTTTCGTATATTAGGCCACTTCCTCTTCAGAGGCCCCCATCCACTGCTCTATAGAAGTGGAAAGATGTTTATGTAAACTCAAGGGGTTCATAGAACTTTTCTGGCTATAGCTACCTTCTGAGATAAATTAATTCACTTAGTTACCCCCATAAACATTCATAAAATATTCTATGTGACTAGAATTATCAATGACAAACAAAACTCAGTATTAGCCTTATTGGGAGGAGGCAGAGAGTTCATAACCTTTGCAAAGAGGAATACAGCATGGGATTTGAGAGTGGTTAAGAACACCATGATCCCAGAGAAGAGAAAAGGTAAGCACCATGGGGCCAGGAGGTCTATCGCTTCACCCACAGCCCAGGGACTAAAATGGTGTAGATTCCTACACAGGTTTCTAAACAGAAAGAGCTCAGGGACTAAAATGTTATAGATTCCTACGCAGATTTCTAAGCAGAAAGAGCTCAGGGACTAAAATGTTATAGATTCCTATGCAGTTTTCTAAGCAAAAAGAGCTCGCGAGCTCTAGGAATGATGTCTACCTCTAGAGGAAAGGTGATTTAATCTCTACACTTATCCAGTGAACAAAATTCAAAAAGATGAAGCGAGTCAGGCCTGTTGGGCTTCACCACAAATAGCTAAGATAAACTGAACATGGCGGCACATGCCTGTAATCCCAGCTCTCAGGAAGCTGAGGCAGGAGGATCACCATAAATTCAAGGCCAGCCTGTGCTACTTTTTGAGTTCAAGGCTAGCCTGAAATACATAGCGAGATCCTGTCTCAAAAATTTAAAAATACTTACAGTGAGAAGGATAGGGAAAGGGGAATAAGGGAAAAGGAAAAAAAGTATGAGAAAATGTAAAAATGGAAATAAAGTGTTTGTAAATGAGGAGGGGAGGAGGGGGTGAAGGGAGGGTGGGGACAAGGGGAAAAAATGAGAACCAAGACCTGTCATGTAAAGGTACAAGATCCCAGTAATGAATGTAACTGTACTGTCTACCTAGAATGTACCAATAAATTCAATTTAAATTTAAAAAAAAAATTTAAAATACTTAAGGTGGACAACCTTATGCTTTGTACAGAGTTCTCGAACTCCTACGAGGTACCCTGGATCTGGAACAACCACACCTGCTTCACCTTGAATTGGTTCTACCATGAAGGCAGCAACATTTGGATCCTGAAGAGCACGCTACAAAACAAACAAGTAAGTTTTAATAATTTCCTATCTGCATTATTTGGAAATCTGAAATCATATAATGCACAAATTTTTTTGTTTAGCACACAAATCACTAACATTTATACTTCACAAATTGAACATTTGTCACTGACATTCAATTCCTGGAAATTCCAAATACTTCCGGTTTAAATAACACAATCCACTGGGCATGGTTAGTGCGTGCCTATAATCCTAGAACTCTGGGAGGCTAAGGCAAAAGGATCACAAGTTCAAGCCCAACCTGGGCAATTCAGACCTTATCTCAGGATAAAAATTTTTAAAAAGGGCTGGAGATGTAGCTCAGCACAAAGACCTTAGACTCAAGTCCCAGTACCCACCTCCAAAAATTATACTACCCTACATTTTTCTAATACATGAATGTAGTATTAAATAAAATCTAAAGGAAATAGCTTCTAAAAGACTTTTAAGGCTTTTTTAAAAAACTACTCCACTTTGGGGTTGGGGATATAACTCAGTGCTAGTGAACTTGCCCAGCACTAAAAAAGACAAGTCTAAAATGCTGGATTAATTATATTCACATAATGTGTTGTTGTGGTTGCTCTGCAGTGCTAAGGAAAAAGCCCAGGGCCTCATACATGTTAAATAAGTGTCCCACCAATGAGCTACATCCCCAACTCTCAGATTATATGCTTAATCTACCTATTCAACAGGAAATAGTTAATTCAAAACAGTTTTTATTTACTATGAACCAAACACCACGATACCACCCAAGTACCTCAAGTGCAGGCAGATCATTATATGGGATGATTTCAAAACCTGGCATGAAGGGTCCAAACCCTTCATAGCTGGTTGGGTCTGTGGAACTGGAGATGGCAGACAATGTTCTACCCCAAAAGTTTCCAGCTATAAAGGCGAAACAAACAGTGATTATTCCAAAGAAATTCATACATTTAACAAGCACCATCCCCCCAAAATATCTTGGGAAGTTTAGCTAAAAAATAAATCAATGGTCTGCTTTAAAGAGCCTCTAGTGAGCTTTCAATTATTAAAACAAAATCTGATATTAAACACCATGGTTCATGTGACCTAAAAACACTAGGCTGGAAGGCCTGACTTTGCAATTATTTTTTTAGGTTCTTCTCTACTGAACCCCAATGGCTATACAGCCCCAAGGATAGGTGTTTTCTTTTCTCAGAACATCCAAATTCAGTATCAAATTCTAACAATTGAGGTACTCAGTCCCTGCTTTCCAGAGAAAGTGCATTTATGATAATGATACAAGAAAGGACTATTCCACATGGAGAATTAGCAGTTTTTCTGTTAAAAATCCAATCCTGCAGGCTAACTACTAAACACATTTTTAACTTCATTTAGAGAAAAAATCCTCAGGCAGTCCACTTTCCATTTTGCCTTGACATTACAACCTTCTATTGATGCTAGATGGCAGAGATCCACCTATCTGCGTGGCCATTTTTTATCTATCAGTAAATGTACCTGGGTACCTACTCGATGTCAAGCACTATTCTACAAGTAGGAGAGGAATGCTGAGTACATGTGGCAAACTCCCTGCCCTCCAGGAGTTTCCTTTCTAGTAGGGAAAAACACCATAACATAAACCAGCCAAGCACATGAACTACACAATTTCAGACAGGGTCAAATTCAAGAAGAAAAAGAACAAAGCACAATTAACACAGAGAATGGGGATTTGTCCACATTAAGAATACTTTTCTATCTTCCCACCACCTCTGCTAGCAATAATTCAATTAACTCAGTACTGAATGACTCTGTTTCTTGGTATCTCTACCACTCCTGAAAAAGTCTCTTTCATTTGCATCTTTTACCCACCCTGACTTTTTGTTTTTAGTTTGGTTTTTGTCTCATTTTTGATTTGATGGTAGTACCAGAGATTGAACCCAGGGCTCTTGTACTAAGCCACACCCCCAGCCCTTTTTTGTTTTTAATTTTGAGACAAGTTGTCACTAAGTCGCTAAGGTGCCCCAGCCTGGGCTCAAACTTGTCATCTTTCTGCCTTTGCCTCCCAGAATGCTTGGACTGTAGGTGTGCACCACCACACCCCACAAGCATACTGATTTTAACCCAGCTTTTTCAAGAAAAAACACTAATGAGACCACAAGCCTATCTGCCCTCCTCTACCTAGCCTCAGGTGTCTCATCCTCCACAGCTCACTGTGCAAGTAGAAGGGACTTACAGTTGGGGACAGTCTTCCACTGTCTTTCCACCCCACTGACTCACCAGCGTGTTTCAATACTTGGGCGAAAACATCTTTGTACCCTTTGCTAAAAAGAAAGAGACTGGATACAGTCTGTGAGAATGAAAATCACCAGAAACACCATTTTTGTTTGTAAGAGACAGTTATGTTGTCTTACAACTAAGGCACAAGATTTTAAAATTTCAAGTTACAGAGTGTACAAACATTTCTTCTTTGGAAATACTAATCTGTTATTTCAAATACCATTTACCTCTGGCCATCAACAGAACTCTGGATCCTATTATATTTTAGTATATGTGCTGCCAAAGCAAGCAAAGGATCCTATTATAATCTGGAGTTTATAATGAAAATGCATATGTTTACAAAACAAAATATCAATTATCACAAGAGTGAAATTAGACCATGTACAGTGACAAAGTAGTGCACACTTTGTTTCTTTATAAACTAAAAGCAAAGCTTAGAAACTCAAAACTTATCATTTTAACTTTATATAAAGATTGTGAAAGATTACATCATCCCAATTAACTGATACCCTTTCTAACCAGAATTCAAATTACTCCTCTCAACCATTCCCAGAAATGTAAAAAAGAGTAACTCCAGGTCTCCTCGTCCCAATAGGTTTCTTTTCTTTTTCTTTTTGATATCAAGGATCAAACTCAGGACCTTGCATTTGCAAGGCAGGTGGCGGAACCACTAGCTAAATCCCTGCCCTCCTCCGAACAGCTTTTAAGAAGCACATGGCACAGGCCCCGGAATTTAGCTCAGTGGTTCCACCACCTACCTCACAAATGCAAGGTCCCAAGTTTGATCCCTGGTATCAAAAAATAAAAAGAAGAAGCACATGCACAATGGTACATCTAATGTTAACACTCAAATGCCAACTCACATGTAGGACAAGGCCCAGCCAACATGCCCCAATCCTAGCATCTGACAAAAACCCTCCATCACAGATCATCTGATTAGCTGGAGGGCTGCTACGGGAATAGTGTGATAAGCAGATGAGAAATATAGTTATTCATTTCAAGGAAGCCTGAGAAGCAGGGTGCTAAGAAAGAAAAATCTCAAATATGAAGAAATAACTTAGAAATAAATGCAAGGAGAAGAAATCCCTCCCTAACTTTTATGAAACACTCAACAAATAATGTATCATGTACTAGGCAAACGTATTAGAAATATCTCACCAACAATTCAAAACTATAAGTGATATCACGTTTAAATTCTGATAATTAAAATGTAATTTCTCCTACCTGCAAAAATGATCTTGGCTTTGTATTTCGGAATGCCCTTCACAGTATAGCCCCACCGACGGGCAAGTTTACAGGCAGTCTCTCCAGCCTCCACTCCTGGCGGGGCGGGGTGTCATATATTTAAATAGTGCTTTAAATTAGCAGAAAACAACATTATTGCCTTGCACTGGGCATTTAACAAAAAGAAAATGCTTTACCTGTGTTCATAGGAAGAACTTTGTGATACTTGAAAAGTTTAGTAATGTACTCCTCATATTCACCCAGGACATCATTATAGAAAGCCCGAGATGTTAGGGTCAACTTGTCCACCTGACTCTTCAGAGCATTTACAATCTTGGGGTGACAGTGCCCTTGGCTGACAGCGCTGTAAGCACTCAGGAAGTCAAAATATTTTCTGCCTTCTACATCCCACACATAAATACCTACAACATATAGGGAAGGAAAATAATTTCAGAAAATTATTGTATGGCATAACATTCAAAGACTCAGACTGCTGGCAAGCCCTCTGAATACCTCCATATAAAACTCTTTTTTTTTATGGTTAAGTTTGTTTTGGCTTGACGGGGATTTAGCTCAGTGGTTCCAGTGCCTGCCTCGCAAGTGCAAGGGCCCAAGTTCGATGCCCGGTACCAAAAAAAATAAAAAAATAAAGTCCTTAAAAAGTTTGTTTTGGCTCAAGCCAAAAGTTTCTATAAACTTTGGTTTGTAGAAATTATTAAAGACAAGGGCCATGGATTTACCTCAGTGGTGCTACTGCCTGTCCTTACAAGCACAAGAACCCGAGTTTAATCCCCGGTACCAAAAAAAAAAAAAAGAAAGAAATTATTAAGGACATATTTTCTGTCTAGCTCCAAAATGTGAATTTAAAGAGGATCATGAAAAGTTTATAAATTCTGGAGTGATACCTCCACTAATTTCGTCCCCATGGGGACTGAACTCAGGGCCTTCACACTGAGTTACACCACCTGCCTGTTTTTTCATTTGTTTGTTTGTTTTGTTGCTGTTTTTGCATTTTAGGGTTATGCTAAGTCACCCATACTGGACTCAAATTTGTGATCTAGGAGACATGATCAAAAAATATGGTGAATGTTTAAAAAAAAAAGTTTAAGGATTTATTGCAGTAAAGGATACATTGCCATTAATCCTCTGAGCTACTCCCTCTCACTTTAGACATGCTTATCCCATCATTTTTGCCACTTTTTTGAAGCACTTCTGGAAGTCCTCTTTCATGAGTGTCTTCAATTATGCTGTCATGGTTGCCTTGATGTCCTGAATCAATTCAAAATATTTTCCTTTCATGGTCATTTTCCTTTTAGGAAAGAGCCAGAAGTTGCAAAGTGCCAGGTCTGGTGAATAAGGTAGATGAAGATACACCATAATAGTTTTATCACCCTGCCTTTCCACTGATGGTATACAGCAGCAGCACTCACTGTATTTTTGGGTTGGTTTTGTTTTTTTATTTTTTTTTTGGTACGAGGGATCAAACCCGGGTCCTTGTGCTTACGAGGGAGGCAGTGGAGCCACCGAGCTAAATCCCCAGCCCTGGTTTTGTTTTTTAGATTTTTGTTTTGTTTTGTTGAGACAGGGTCTTGCTATATAGCTCAGGCTGACCTTAAAGTCACGGCAATCCTCCAGCTTCAGCCTCCTAAGTGCTGGGATTACAGGTATGCACCACCATGCCCAGCTACTATATATACCTTTTACCATGCACCACACCGTTATGTGTTTTCACACCCTAGCGCATCAAAAAAAACCCTTATGGGAGCTACCATCACTGCTACACCGAGCTACAGAAATGGATGCTTATGATAACTACACTAGGCTGGCACACAGGGGACAAGAAGTTGAACCCACGCAGCAAGACCCCTATAGTCCAAACTCTGCCAATGTAGTTAAAGAATATTTTCATAAAACAAATTGTTCCTAAATTTGTGATGCATAAATCTAGATTTTCGTTTGCTCAATATGTCTATGTTACAGTAGCGGCCCAAACAGCACAGGCAATGACAAAAATGAATGTACTTTTATATGGTCATCTTCTGGCATAAATCCAGCTAACAAACTTTGGTCTGATTTGTTAAGGCTGTTACCTCAAGATGCAGATTACATCACCATTTAGCAATTATTATTGTAATGATTTGTTTGAACAAGAATCAATAAATGTGTAAAAGTCTCATGAATATCAGAATATACACAGAGGCTCAATCCCCACAATATACTTCATACAAAGGGAAAAATATAATTTTGCAATGGAGTAGCCTGGAAGACATCACCTTGCCAAGTGATGGAAAATCAACACTGGCAGTCACAGATGAATGAACAGGTCTCCTGCTGTGAGGCACTAGAAGGGCCGGACATCACTGCACAAAGGTGCCTAACTTGACTGTGATCATGAGCAAACCCCAGTCCAAACTGAAGCCCATCACAAAATCAGTGGCCACTGTACTTCAAAACTATCAAAGTGAAGATAAAAACTATGAAACTGCTCTGGTTTAGATAACTAAATCTAATAACTGGATATGACTCACAATCTACAGTCCTCTTTTGTTTTTTGTTTTTTTTGGTACTGGGAATTGAACTCAGGCCTTGGGCGCTTGGTAGGCAGCGGCACCACTGAGCTAAATCCCCAGCCCAGTCCTCTTTTCTTATACAAGATAATACATTAACTCTAGATTAGATCTATAGATTAATAATAGTGCTGTATTGGTGATAATTTCTTGATTTTGATAATTACAAGTGGTTGCAAAAGAGAAAGTCTTCATGTCTTAGGAAAGATACACTAAGTATTTCAGGGTGAAGAGGGGTCACATCTGGAACTTCTCTAATGGTTCCGAAAAAAAAGTATAGGACATGGGAGTGGGAAGGGAGAGGAGAGAACATTAAAAAAGTGGTAAAATGACAGCAATTAAGAAATCTAGAAAAAGAATTTAAAATTTTAGTACAATTGTTACAACAATTCTTTTTGCTTTTTTCGTGGGGGGGGGTTGTACTGGAGATCGAACTCAGGACCTTGTCCATGCCAAGTAGGCACGGTGCCACTGAGCTATATCCCCTAAACGTATACTGAAATAAAAGCTAACAGGAAAAAATATAGTACTTTCCATATTTCTCCTGCATTTCCTTTTCGTGAGGCCCACCACGACAAAGACTAACAGACCATCGCTGTGGCCACACAGCACCCAATGGAGTGGCACCAGACATACAGACTGGCTATATGAACCCTATCTGTAACTCAGACATTCAGTACATCTGGGGAAATGGACACTGAAAAAGTGCAAAAATAATTCATTTTCATAAAAAAATTTCAAGCAAAAGGATGTGGGGGCTAATTTGAAATATACCTTTTCCTCTCTCCAAAGCCACAGGTAATGGATGGTAATTGTGTGCGCCATATTTAGATTCCCGTTCAAAAATATACTCAGAGGATGGAGGGCCTTGGACTGTCTTCTTAGTTGCAACAGAGGTAGCACATGTCACTGAGGAATGAACTCCACGACGAAGTATAGCAAGGGTCTGCAAATGTGCTAGTTTGGAAAACATTGTGTCCTTCAAACAAAAAAAACACGGACCTGTCCAAAGAAAAGAGAAGGCATTAAATACATCCAGAGTCGGTGTATGTCTGCTCCCTAAGCACCTGGTGAGCAACTACCACAATCAGTATCAGGCCTGATATCAACAGATGGTGTCTTGTGTAGCACAGAGATCTGAGACAGGGGACCAAATCAAAGAAGGATATTGGAGAGTAGCCCTGGGGCAGGAGCTGAAAATTATTTTGTCTTCCCCCCTTGAGATGGAGTCTTGCTATGTTGCCCAGGCTGGCCCTCACTCATAGCTGGGACTACACAGTCATACCACCACCACCCTCACTTCTATTTAGCATTTTGACTCAGTCCTTGGTCCTTATATATGGAAAGTGATGAAAGTGAGAAAGAATTTGGTGCTGTAAATGCAACTCAGTGGTAAAGCATTTGCCTAGCACATGAGACAGGAAATCCTGGGTTCAATCACCAGTATCACAAAAAAAGAAAAGGAAAGGAGGAAGGAAAAAGAAGGGAAGGAGAGAGGGAGGGAAGGAAGGACTTGGGTTCTACGGAGAAAAGGGATCATTCTCAAAAAAAATAAAATCTAGCTTTATGGGAATGGGAAAAGCTTAACACCAACAGAAAGTACAAAAGGTAAATACTGTACTATCATTTAGCCACAATTTCTAAAACTTCTATAGGTCATCAAATTTATAAACAAAAGTGCATGGCAAAAAAAATTTTTTTAAAGACTAGGGAAAAATAGTTTTTGTAATTTTACCATAATTTGAACCAAAATAATTATATAAATATATAAGATGAAAACAGGCAACTCTCAAAGAAACAATCTATTTCACTAAGATGCTAGCATTTTCTCCTCAAAAAAAAAAAAAAAAAGTTGCATCAGGAAAACAACTGTTTAAAAGAGAAAATGACAATTAAGATCTAGAGAACGTCAAACTACAGTTAAGATGGTTGTAGGAATTTCAGTACTCAGAGTCCACCAAGAAGCACTCAAATATTTATGTATTTCAGAGTCCTTTGTTAGTCTTTCCAATCCCCACCAGCCCTGAATCCAGCCCCCACCTGTGTTTCATCCACCTTTTATATCCAGTTTACCATTCAGCATCATGTAGGCCAAAAGTAGAAACTAAGCTACAGAAGAAATTAAAAATAAAAGAGAGGCTGGGGATTTAGCTCAGTGGTTCCACTGCCTGCTTTGCAAGCACAAAGTCCAAAGTTAGATCCAGGGTACCAAAAGAAAGTATAAAAAAGAAATGCAAGAACATACATAGAGATCATATCTCACAGGAAAATGTTTTTAAGATAAAGTCAAGATTAGGAGAAAGTTGCCAAGAACTATGTCTATATATACTTTTTTTAAAAGACTAGCTAATTCATGTTTCAACAGAACTCTATCAATAACAAGTCAAATTATGCATAATCTCACAGCATTCTTGATTTGAGCTGCCAACTTAGCAAAATACAAGTAGGCTTGGCTTACTTCCCTCCCAACTTGACACCATCCAGTAAACCCAGTCAGCAATTCACAATTACTAAGCAAAACACAGCACTCTTCTCTACCAAAGACTTACCAACTATTCTTGCTTCCCACAGTTCAGGCTAGAATATAGATTTTTTTCACTGGAGATCCAGGGACAATCTTCAGTGGGTCTAGTAACTGTGAAATAAAATGCAGAACTAAATGCAGTAGTATATTTTTCTAAGGAAAATGTAAATAATTTTCACCAGATTTTATCTCAAAGTGGTATATACCAATAAGCAAAAAAAAAGTGATGCAAGAATAATTAAGCCAGAGGAAGCCAAGAGCAAAACTAACTGCACTAGAGAGAACATCCCCCCAAATATTGCTAAGTCTACAATACTGACTTTACAGTTTCTTTCTTCTCTTCATCCTGTATTCAATATGAATTAACCATATGACCACAAAAAAATTAAACATTAATTTTGCCTATCAAATTAGCTTTATTGCTAATCACACAGCAATATGGCCAGGCATGGTGATGCACGCGTGTAATCCCAGCACTCGGGAGGCTGAGGCAGGAGGATTGCTGTGAGCTCGAGACCAGCCTGGGCTACACAGTGAGTTCCAGGTCAGTCTCAACTACATTGTGAGACCCTGTCTCAAAAATAACAGCAATATGTCCTCTCAGACATACTTAACAGTATTCTACAGCAAAACAAGTTTCTGAAGTTGTTAGCTATAAAAGCCTTAGAACTGTTTGTATCTAAACCAGTAATTCCACTCCCATGATTTTTTTATAAAGAAATACTCATAAACCAGGCGTGGTGGAGCACGCCTGTAATCCCAGCACTCAGGAGGCTGAGGCAGGAGGATCGCTGTGAGTTCGAGACCAACCTGGGCTACATAGTGAGTTCCAGTTCAGTCTCAAATACATAGTGAGACCCTGCCTCAAAAAACAACAACAAAAAAAGAAATACTCATAAATTTACAGTATTTATGCATAAAAGATGTTCAACAATAGTTCAACAGAATCATGAAAATAATGCAACGCCGTTTCAGCTTTTAATGACATGGTGGTAAGTTTTAGTCAAGTGAAAAAAATAAAATCATACATGCAGGATGCTCAACTATGCAAAAATAAAAGGAAAAACTAGGAAAAGCTCAACTGTGGCTATTTTGTATCTTCTACAATGACCATTAAGTTTATATTTTTATAATCAGAAACACTGAAAATAAAACTGGGTGCCTAGGTAATTAGGACTTAGAGAACATTTACAGTTATATTAGACAAACAGAAAATTAGAATGCTTCGTTACATTAGACAAAGTTTAGGCAAAAAATAAAACTATAAGAAAAGGGTTTGATAAGCTTTGAGATAACACAATGTGGTTAAAATAAAGGTACAAGTTATTTCCTCTAAGAAACTCAGGCTTATGATAATTAGGTCCAAAATTCTATCTGTTCCTAGGGGATAAAGTCAAATTCTAAAATATCTACATGATGATTTTACTATTAAAAGTCTGCAGCTCTGTGACCTCATTAATAGCAGAGAAAAGGAGGGGCATTTAAAAAGAAAAGGTATAAAAAGATACTAAAAATACACTGAACAGCATTTTCTAAGTTAATTAACAAGCTCATAAAAGACCCCAAGCGAGGGCCAGGGATTTAGCTCAGTGGTTCCGCTGCCTACCTCACAAGCGCAACGACCGGAGTTCGATCCCCAATACAAAAAAAAAAAAAGACTGCAAGTGAAAAGTTTCTCTGAGATTATCCCTTTTTATACAACAGTTATGTGCTCAGGTAATTCCCAATGGAAATGGGATAAGAATCCATTTATCTGCTGAGTTCAGGAGGTTTATGAAAATCATATCTGCTGAGTTTGGGTAGTTTTATTAAGGAGTAATGCTAACAGTGACTCAACAGTAACATTTAAAATATTACTAGTTCTCATTCTTCAACATCTTAAATATGAACTTTATTTAATTCAACTGGGAAAGGTCACAAGTTGCATGCTCCATGATGTTCCATGATCCTGTAAACACATTTCTATTAGAGAGCCTTCTGTGTTCAGGTTACTATGCTTGGCATTATATGAGAAATATTAGAACAGAATCAAAAATAGCTTAAAAATAGCTAACATCAATAATCTCTTCCAAACAGGTTTGGAAAATCAGAATAGAATGAAAAGTCCACAGAGTTCAATGACAAAGATTTAAATTCTGTCCATGGCTCTTCTGTAAAACTAGGTTGAAACTGTTCCAGGGCATTCCTGAGGATTAGGAGTTCATGTAAAAGCTCCAAGTCTAATTAGTACAAAATAGTCAGTCATTCATTTTATTCCCTCTGCTCTTAAATTCACAAGAGAACTAGTCAACTTCTACAATTTAAAAATAGTGCCATGGTTTCTTTTTAAAACTGAATGTTTTTTTCTTAAAATTTTTTTCTTAAAATAAGATTTTGATTTAAAAAAATAGAAAGCAAGCAATAAAACTTAAGTGTAATAATTCCATACTTCATGATCACGGTATCTCCCCTGCCAGGTAAGTATTATAATTCCATACTAAAGAGATAACTATTAACCTTTTTACTATGCCGAAATACATACATATTAACTTTATTTTTCACCCTCTCCTGTCATTTTGCCCAGGTAGGGTAATCTTTGTTAAATGAATGAGGTCCTCCTAAATACACAGAAAGCAATGAGACCAAAGGAAAATATTAAATCACTTATCCCTAGCCAACTTGATCTAATCAAAGAGGAAACTATCACATTCTCTGACCTTATCTGAAAAAATAAATCTTTTCAAGGGGTCACTTCATTAGCTCTACCAGTCTGAAAAGGTCAAAATAATATGTTTTAAGCTGTAGTCGTGCATTCAACAGGCAAAACTCACCTCCTGGAAATGAGACCAAATTGCTACTGTCAATCTAAGCACTTTTAACATTAAATGTTTTAAATACTCCACATAATTAATATTCCTTCAGGCTCCCATTACTCTCCCCCCAACACCCCAACACATCTACATTAGAACATTCCTAGAGGACAATTTCCATAAAAGGCTGTATTCAGAAGAACTAAGCTAGCCTGTGTTGTTAAACATTGTTTTCTCAAATAACTCTAAAATAATGGTGTATAAAGTCATCAAAAAGTCATTGGAAATATTCAACTTGAGGAGTAAATTTGGTTTTACTACTGTCAAATATTTACTTTTCTTGAGGTAACCAACCCTTCATGAATACAGGTTTTTCGTAAGTTCTGCCAACAAACGCTTTTTTTCTTTACCTAATCAAAATTCTGACTAAAATTCAACTCAAGTGTATCACTGACAAACAAAGCACTACTACTGAAAAAGGACTGGGTCAATGTTACCGCACCCTCCACACACCAAAATTCTGCTCATTCGTTACTTTTTCAATTCGTGAGACTTGACTCATCCTCTAGAACTCAGTAAAAGGCATAATACATGCACACAAATAATTGTACCAGCGGCAAAACATAAGACAGCCTCTTTGAGGGGGAAAATGGGTTAAGAATTTTAATTACTTAAAGTTATACGGGGGCTTTTTGTGGGGAGTGGAAAACTAATCTTAAACACTGAAAAACTTTAAGCTCTGTAATTTAAGTCAAGAACTAGATTCTCTAAAAACAACCAGGAGGCTGGGGATTTGGCTCAGTGGCTCCACCGCCTGCCTCACAAGTGCAAGGGCCAGAGTTCGATCCCAGGTACCAACAAAATAAATAAATAAAACCAGGAAAACACACACACACTAGGATAGTTTCATGAAAGGCACTCATGAGATATTCTCATGTTTCAGGAGGATAAGATAAAGATTGGACTTTAAAAAAGGGATGAAGAGCAAGAACTAGTTTACCTGCAGAAACTCCCAGGAGAGATTTAGAACAGAGGAACTGCAGATTAATAAAGTAAAGCCACTTCACTCCAAAGTCACTCTCTTCTCTCCCTTATCACCTTATCTAAATGATAAAGCTCAACACCAAAAGTCAAGATGACTGTGACAAGGAGAGGAGGCGGCCAAGGTTCCACTGTATTCAGTTAGAATTTACTGATGCTCAGCAACATTTGCAGAGGGAACCCTAAGGATGAGATAGGTATTCATGCTAAAGTCCGACTCAATCCCTTCTAATTAACGTGCGTGTAAATGCACAATAACGATCTATTTCCGAAATCCTTTCATCTGGACCCTGAATGGAGGGGACGGAGAGTTGGGAGAGGACAGGGATGAGCAGGGTTGGCTGCGAAGCCCAGAACCTGCCCTGGGGGGACTAGGTACAACAGTCCGCACCAGCGACCCCGCCTGCCGCCAGTCACCCGTTGACTGCAGGTTCCCCTGTATCAACAAAACACCCTCCTCTCCGCCCTGGAGAACGAGGGGTGTCCGCTGTGACCCGACCCCAACGCCTCCCTCCCGGAAACCCCGAGGCCTGAGGCCTCGGGCCTTGGCAGAGTACCCTGTAAGAGCCGAGACCCAGCCCTCGAGGGCTGCGAGCCAGCAGTCGACGGCTCCGCCCGATCTGGCAGGCGGGGTTGCCACATCCACAGCCTCTCCCAGCCTCCTCGCCACCCGCCGCTCGGAGTAGAGGATGGGCTGCTACCCTGCCCACTTGAGCCGGGCGCAAACAGGCCGCCTCACAAAACCCGGGAGCCTCTACAGCCGGCGGCCGCATGCCCCAACCCTCACAGCCCAGTGTTGCAGAGCCAGCGCAGTACCTGATTGCATAGAGAAGATCCCGTTAAGGTGGCGACCTGCGGAACTAAGCGGCTCGGCGCGTCACAAAGCTTAAGAAGCAGTGTCCGCCCCGCCCCGGGACGTACTCGTCGTCCATTGGTTGGCGAGAAGGCTGAGAACCAATCACGTAAATCCATGTCCGCCCCGCCCACTTCTCCGAGCGCCTCTGAATGATCTTCCGCTCGCCGGCTCTAGGGCCTTCCGCACCTCCTAAAGCAGGTCTGTGCTAGGTTGTTGTGCTAGCGCTCCAGATGCTGGTAGTCTCTGCCCAGCCTTTACTGCCTAGAAGAGGAAGTCTGAAAGTATGGAAAGTCTATGGATCTCTACCTGCCCGCTGCGTTTCCCTAGCTGAGGAATTTGGAGCTGGACTGCGGGCTTGAACTCCTGCCCTGAGCTCCTGGCCCTCCTCCACTTTACCTCCTCTCAGAGCCTTACCCACATACCTACACCAACTCCGCCCCAGATGCTGTGGCCCCATGCCCTTGAATCCTGATGGACTGCAATTTGTAATGCACTTCCAGAATCCTTGCTGCCACTGGAAAACTCACTGTCCACCTGTTCGTGGCTGCTGTTAAGATACTTACATGAGGGCAGCATAGTCAGAGTACTAATAAGCCTGCAGTGCCATCCACAGTGGATATAAAACTCAGAACTCAAAATGGATATTCTGGAATGAACTCGTGTTCGAATCAGGAGGAATTTGGACGTCATTTAGCCTGCAACACCTTTCCATATTAGAAAAGAGACCCAAAGAGAGAAAGTAACTTAGCAGAGTTATCCAGCAGGGGATTAGGCAATCGGGTCTACTGTGCCACGCACTGCTATATGAAGCAGATAGCTGGCCAGTGCAGTGAGCAGAGGACTACATGTCAATACTATGGTTCCATTGGCCCGCAGTGGTAAGGATCTCATCCAGGAACATTACAGTTAGGAAATTTATGTGTGGGGTGCCAAAGTAAACCAGAGAAATAAAAAAGTAACCTAGGGCTAGTACACCAGGGAGGGCCATTATCAACCCTAGGCCTCCAGTCTAGAAGCAGGATTTCCAGGATCCAAAAAAAGAAGAGTAAGAAGAAACTTCCTGCCTGGGCAAATGTTATTAGTGATCCCACTGGAGGGAGCTGGGTACTAAGCATCCCAACCACCCTCCTCCTGCTAGGTTTCCCCAGGGGGTGAAGCCATGAGGCCACAGGCCTAAGGAGGCCTTTAAGGCACTCCCTACTGGTGACCCCTGGGGACATAGAGCACCGTGGGAAAGAGGTTAGAGGAACAATTAGAAGACATTCAGCACACGTAATTCACTAAGTCTTTCCTGAACAGAGGGTAAAGCCATACTATCTAGAAGAGGCAGGGAAGTGGAGTGGGTCCAGGGGTAAGGCTGTGAACAGACCAGCCAACATTTGCCAGTATAGAGCAACAAAAGAGATTTCGTCATCCTGGGCTTGATCTGGTCTGAACCAAGTTCACTTGCTCCACTTGTTATAGCTATTCCTTCTCTGGAACTTAGCAAGAACAGAAGTTTTCTTTTTTATTTCTTTGAAATCCCTTCATACCACCCAATACCTCTGCGGCAGTGATTTTGCCCCCGGAGTCAGAAGGGAGTCAGGTCTCTATGGTTCTGCTCTGCAAACCTGGGCAAGTGTGGAAGGCCAAGTATGGCTCTTGGAGCTCTTTCAGAAACACTCTCCAGTTATGACTTGGCAAGTAGGAGCAGGTTAGTTCAAGAAGGGAGCGAGCATAGCACCAAAATATGTTGCAAAGCCTTTGGATTTACAGATCAGATGCTCTTTAATGCAAAATTTTCACATCCAAGAAACTGCTGAGAGTGTCTGGGTTTTTATCTTGCTCCTTTATCAGAAAAAGGCAGTGGGTTCAAAGATCATTTTATCTACTAGCAGTTGTTTTCTTACTTACCATGGCCTATAAAGAACAACCTGGACTTACTTTAAAATTGCTTTTTTTTTCCAACTAAGAAATCAAACTGCTCTATTTGTATGTGTTGATGTTATTCAATCTAGAAATATGTAAGAACAGCATATATTACAAAAATTTTTGAGCCTTTAAAACTATTAATAGATCGAAGTAATTAACTCTACCATAAAATCTGGAGGTATAAAAATTGACTCTCATAGCAGATATACAAGACCTAAGTTAATTTCATCAGATCGTTGGACAAATGTCCTTTGAATGTATTAGGTGCCTTACCTTGTAAAGAGCTGCATATCAGGCTAGACCACATGAGGTTCGTAAGGAGAGAAAAAGTCAGCAAAAGTTTCTTCAACGAGTATGAATGGAAATCTTATAACTCTGATAATCTAAAAAAACTGCAGCCAAGCCAGGCGTGGTGGCCCACACCTGTAATCCCAACACTTGGGAGGCTGAGGCAGGAGGATCGCTGTGAGTTCGAGACCAGCCTGGGCTACATAATGAGTTCCAGGTCAGTCTCAACTACATAGTGAGACCCTGTCTCAAAAAAACTGCAACCAAATATAAAGGAAAAAAATACAGAAACCCCTCATTTATTAATGACCACAAAAACAATTTATATGTTATGCAAGCTTCTTGCTTTTCATTATTTCTTTCATTGTCCAACTTGCTATTACTTGTGATTAGTAATTACTTGTGATTAAAGGCGTGTACTACCACACCCCGCAAAAAGATATCTTTTGAGCCAAAGACTGAACAATATAAGGAACTCAACCCTCTTTCTGGAAGAACCTTCAAGATTGAACCCTTCAAATCCACAATGGTAGGAACCTAGCAAGCAAAGGTAAGCAAAGAATTAAGGAGAGCCATGAGCCGGGCGTGGTGGCTCACGCCTGTAATCCCAGCCCTTGGGAGGCTGAGGCAGGAGGATCGCTGTGAGTTCAAAACCAGCCTGAGCTACACAGTAAATTCCAGGTCAGTCTCAACTACATAGTGAGACCCTGTCTCAAAAAAACAAAAAAAGAAAAAAGAAAAAAAGAAAAGAAAAGAGAGCCAGAAAGGGAAAGCAGGGGACAATTCTAAACTTAAATTTGAACTGGCAAGAACAGGGAGGCTTTGCAAGAAATTTTACAGTAAAATATGAGGATGTGGCTGCTAGGATTATCTATTTCCACTCTCCCATAGCTGAACTTCATCTTAGAAGTCTAGCTGCAGTTCTTGTCCTTCCCCATGAGACACCCTTCCTGACTCCAAGGCTGCTAGAGTCCACTCCCCCCACTGCTTAGTATTTCTGCTCACTTCTCATCTCCTACCTCCTGTCCTTATTAACCTACCACATCTGTCTAGCTCTTTCTTTTCAGGCAGTGGCACCACTGAGCTAAATCCCTGGCCCAACCTATCTTTCTTTCTATCTATCTATGACTTCCGGACTGGATGTTCTTAATGGTGGAGCCTGGCTTTCAGGACTTTTACAGCCTCTCAGCACCCTCTCCATTGCTTTTTGTTTGTTTTTTGGCATCAGGGATCGAACTCAGAACCTTGCGCTTGTGAGGCAGGTGGCAGCACCACTGAGCTAAATCCCTGGCCCTCCATTGCTTTTTATAGAAATATTTTACTCTAGTCACTGCTCATCTTTATTTCCCTTAGTAGGAATGAGAGGAAGAACAGGTAGTTATTATGGAATTATGACCCTGGGATTCCAAAAGCCTAGGTGGCCCAAAGCCCTCTCCACCCTAGAAGAGTGACAGCCATATCAAAGCTGTAAAAGCTTGGGTTAAAGGGGGGAAAGACTTCAACACATTACTGTTCACCCATATCTGCATGCTAGTCTTATTGAAGGGCTGTCACGTGCCAAAGGCCTGTCATGTGCCAAAGAAATGTCTGATAAGTTTATATAGATGTGTCCTAAAGAGAGGACAATGAACAAACTCAGCATAGAGCATGAGACGTGGAAGGGAGCCTCTGGGAGGATCTTAGGAGCCAGGCGGCTGTAACTGAAGGACATTGTGTCCCTGGATGACTGAGTGAGGAAAAGTGAATAGAAAATTCCAAAAGAGAATGGGGGGAGACCAGAACAGGTCAGGTCACCAAACTAGAGGTAAGCCCTCTTTAAACCAGTTCAATAGCACACATTTAAAAACAGACTCAGCTCCTGAAGCTGAAAAATCAGCTAATTCTCAATATTGGAAAACAATGAACATGTTATTTCAAACATGCAAATTAAAGATGTGATCACAAAATACAGTGAATGTTTAAATAAAAATTTTAAATGTACTACAGTACAAGACATATTGCCATTAACCACTCTCCAAATACTGTAATGCCCTTCACTTCAAATACACTTTTCCCATTATTCTTGACACTTTCTGAAGCAGTTCTAGAAGTACTCTTTCTTTTTTTCTTTGGTACTGGGGATTAAACTCAGGACCTTATACTTGCAAGACAGGGGGCAGAACCACTGAGCTAAATCCCCAGGCCAAAAGTAGACATTTTAAATCAGCTCAGGACATTGAAGCAGCCACAACATCACAACAAGAGACATTTGTGAAAGAGGACTTCCAGAACTGCTTCAGAAAATGGAAAAATACATCCATAAATAGATGAATGGATAAAAATTGTGGTATATATACACAATAAAGTAATAGTCAAAAAGAATAAATTTGAGTCATTTGTAGGAAAATGGATGTACCTTGAGATCATAATGTTAAAATGAAATAAATCAGGCATATAATCTTAAATATCACATTGTTTCTCTTATATGAGAAACCTAAAATATGAATAATTTAAAGAGCAAAGCAAAAGATAGATGACAGGAAACAGATAAAACCTTTGCACATGGGAAGAGGATCTAGACATAGAGAGAGGGCAGAGGGAAGGAAGGGGCAGGCAAATTAAAAAGAATTAAGATGTGTTAGGTACCTATACCGACTCCCCACCATGAATGCAATCATAATGTACAGTAAATATGTACTAACTAAAAAAAAGGAAGTAGGAAAAATAATGGGATAAGTGTATGAAGCAAGGGGAATACTTTGGTGGGGGTTAATGGCAGTTTGTCTTTTACTGCAATAATTTTTTTAATTTAACCATTCACTGTAGCTTATAATCATATCACAATTGCGTAATAG